GATGGTGTCTGACGCACACTAGAAAAGACTGAACGATTCACGCATGCATTTGCACTAGGCCCTTAGAAGTCTGCACATTCGTCTTCTGATCTCCTCAGATGATCATTAAGTTCTTCAAACACTGGGTATTCGTTTGCTCTGGCCTGTTTTAAAGGGTTTTATGTAGCTACTAAGTAGTGTAAGGAGACGCAAGTGTGATGAGGTCCGCCATCATTTCTTTGGTGGTTTAATGTCATATTTTGTAGTGCCACTGTTTTGACTTTTTTGAATGAGGATTTACAATTACATTCATCTGGTTTGGTACATTTTAGAGTAACATATCACATCCTGAGTTCATTCACACCCTCCTGCAGTTACTGGAAAGGCTGCCCATATACGTGTATGTATATATATATATATATATATATATATATATATATATATTATGTGTGAATACTGTTTTATTGTATGTGTGGATTATATTGAAGATAGAGCTGTTTTAATTCTGCCTTTATCAGTATATCCGGGTGAAACTCATAAAGTTCTGTTTCACCATAGATTCAGGGGTGGGGGTGGGGGGGTATTTTAAGAAAATGAAGCCACAATAGGATTATTTTTTTTTGCATTGAGCCTTTTTTTTTACATATTTACGCTGTAATTCTTATTTCTATAATCTGGGGGGGGAACAATAAACTGCATAAAATAAATCTCTAATTTAAATAGTTTATTTATAAATATTTTCTTCCCAAAATACAGAAATGAAAACTATATTTCTTTGCATTACAGTATTGAGAATTTGAGAGAAAAATGTGGAAAATAATGTAAGGAATACAAATAATGCAAAAAAATATCTTAATGGACTTCAAAACAGGCCAATTTCCATTAAGTATTTTTTTTTTTTTTTTTTTTTTAGAGGGAAATGACCCAGTTTTTGTAAGATTGACCCACCTGCTTGAGCAATTGTAGGGCTTTATTGTTGTTGTAAAAAGTCGAATTGTACATTTAACCTATTTATACTGAAGTCGATGTACTGTATACAAAGGTGTTTATATGATAGCCGGGTTGAGCATAACCATTTAAAAACAGTGAAAACAGCTTTTGATTAACTCATATAGGATAATGAAAATACTTTATTTCTAGTAGAAACATCCTTAACATCGGCGTTTAACACTTTCTAGATGCAAAATGTTCCTATTGTTTGTTTTGACAGTTCCCCCTGACGTCAGTCTTAAACTTATATTTTTGAGTTTTGAGTCAATAATGTCATTTTCCATGTAGCTCCGACTGCGCCGTGTGTCATTTGTCACTGTAAGTGCTCGCACATACATCGATCAATAAAATACCATATTTTCAAAGTATACACGTGTCTTTTTGCTCCCTCCCAGCTAACAAAATAAAGTCCCCAGAACGTCCCCTGAACGTCCACTGCGAACGTCCCCTGAACGTCTTCGTGTAGGGTTCTTTAAACGTTCGCAGGACGTCGTGGGGGACGTTCGCGGGACGTCCCGAGGGACCTTCGCGGGACGTTTAGAAAACTTTCGGGGACCTTTTCGGAACGTTCACTAGAAGTCCTTTTAACATCTTAAGACCCTTTTATAGTGTAGCATTAGTCTGATAACACAAAATCGAACAACCAAGGAACAAACACAAGGAATATCAGGAAACAAAAATACTTTTATTTTCATAAACAAAAAAAGTGCGTGTGTGTGTGTCTAGTTGCCAAGTTTCCAGCTGAAACGAAGTTCACATGTGTCTTCAAATGCGCTGTGTGTGTGTGTGTTTGTCGGTCAGCTGTGGGATTAATCCGATGGCAATTCTCCACCTTTGGCCCTAAAACAACAAAATAAACATATTCAGTTATGATTTTATCCAAGTGGAATATAACGTTGTCTCATTTCAGCTACATTTAACGTTAGCTTCGTAGGCATAACGGTTATCAGCGGTACATTGCGGACAACTTCAGCAAACGTTTTAAAAGGTAACATTTTTATATAATTTAAAGACGGACAGTGGTTATGGTAACAAATTTATAATAACCTAAATTTAACGTTTTATTATACAACGTTAACAAATTTATAATAACCTAAATTTAGCTACATTTAACGTTAGCTTCGTAGGCATAACGGTTATCAGCGGTACATTGCGGACAACTTCAGCAAACGTTTTAAAAGGTAACATTTTCATATAATTTAAAGACGGACAGTGGTTATGGTAACAAATTTATAATAACCTAAAAATTAAAAATACCTTTAGACAGACGACGGACAGAGAAAACACAATAAGGCTGCGTCTGAGGAGGACCGTTAACTGTCACTACGCTACGCAGCTGAGCGTTGCCATGGATACAAACCATAGACTGTGATACAAACCGCGTACATAAGGAATGACGTCACTCGCTTAGGTGCATTTGATCCTATGATTTGATCGTCACTTGCTTGTTTCTCCAATTTTTTTTGTGTTATTTGATCTGCATGTGCTATCAATAATTAGAATAATATTTTTCCTAAAATATATTATTTTTAATAAAACCAGTCACCTTCGCCTGACCAACAGTTTGACAGGTAAATGTTAAGGATACTTTTATTTGTCTTACCGTGTTACTTTCCACTTTCTTTCCAGCAATTTTTCATTCTTCACGTTTTCCTTGGCTGCATTCATCATTTGAAGTCGATGCATTCTTTTAGAGCTCCTGGGATTCAACCTCTTCGTGCATGTGGAATAGCCTTTATAAATAGCTCATATTCAATTGAATCAATTTTCATGTTTTTGATGTTTAAATTATAACGGGTGAAAACAGACTCGTGGTTTTATTACATCTTTAATTAGTGATATAATTTACATGAAAGTTATTATCTTAACATTAAAACACTAACGTTTTTAGCATGAACTTACAATTAATGCAAATATTTGCATTTATATTTTAGTTTAATTATTCGTTTGTCTGAGTTGCAAAGTGTCAGTTGATGATGGCAAACGCATGGGCGACTGGATTTTGCAAGTGTTGTCATGGAAATGCCAGGTGAGGGACGAAATAGGGACGTTCGCAAACTGGCCCGGACAAATGTCCTCAGAACGTCCGTCAGCGAACGTTATAAAATGGACCAAATGCGAACGTCATCGGAATGTCCGTCAGCGAACGTTACAAAATGGACCAAATGCGAACGTTATCGGAATGTCCGTCAGCGAACGTTACAAAGCGGACCAAATGCGAACGTCATCGGAATGTCCGTCAGCGAACGTTACAAATGGGACCAAGTGCGGACGTCCTCAGAACGTCCGATCGGGAACGTTACAAAGCGGACCTAATGCGGACCTAAGGGGACGTTTGAAACGTCCGGGGGACGTCCCTTGTTTGCTGGGCTCTCCCTTTCGCGTTGTCACCATAGTAGATAGACTGTAAAAAAAAATAGGTTGTCACTCGTGCATTTTGAAATGGAAATCGTTTCTATTTTCGCACCTCAACATCAACATCTGAGCACGTTCTTCATCTCGTCTGCGGGTTATATTTTATTTTCCTGTTGCAAAGCTGGGGTTTGTTGTTGATCTGAACCGGTTTTGTATCAATTACATATGTTCTGACAACATAGGCTTCTCTGTTATCTAGGTGAGCGCTGTTTGCAATGAACCAGTCACGCCCAGAATGCACAATTGAGTCTTCATGTCTTTCGGCAGACATGTTGTAATTTATGCTGCTTTTTTAATTAGCTGTGTCTTATTATTTAGATGCCAATTAAGCTGTCATGAACATTTCCTGGTCTCCAGCCACAGTGAAACCCTTCATTTTGCCGTTGCTACGTTTTTGTGTCAACAAATGACATGGCAACTGTCATAGAAATGCTAGGAAATTGGCGTTGAAGCTGCTTTTGAGTAAAGGTGAGAGGTTTATTATTAGTGTGGTCAATGACTCACTTTCATTTTTCACTCACGCGTCTATGATCAAACAGAGGCGTCGCGGTGCAATGTGCGCTTTTTGTAGTTGTGAAAAATAATTCCTCTTCTTTATGCAGCTGTGTAACCACCATGTAATTGAAATGAACCCGCTCAACACAAACGCTGAGAATCTGAGTGCTCTTAATTAGACGTGTTTTGACTGAAAAATAACAGGCTTGATCGCAGCTGACTGTATTCTCGGTTTCAGCCTATAACCGATTCAATCTGTTTTTATGATCACGTCCATTTAATATCCCACCTGAAATCAATTGCCATGCAGGATACATTGTGTTCCAGTTGTCGGGGAAGGCGGCAGGGGGCGTCTGTTTACCTCCTGCAGGTGTCTGGACCCCTAGCCCTCCTCTTTTATTCGAACACAGGGCTGGACTTGTTCAGGGATGTTGGGAAATCCGAAATTCGAACGGATTGTTTCAATGAATCGACTCAAATGATTCATCACCCCAAAATGTTCCTCGAATTATTATTTTTTATTTTTTTACTATGAAACAAATATATTTTTACTTAAGTCACATTGTTTATTACTATGTTTTTGTTAAGATTTGTTTTCTTTTTTTTTTAACTAAGCGGATATTAAAATGTATCCACAAAAAGATAGCTTTTCACTCAAAAGATACTATCTATCTATCTATCTATCTATCTATCTATCCATCTATCTATCTGTCGTTCTGTCTCCATCTATCTATATATCATTCTGTCTCTATCTGTCTGTCTATCATCTATATCTATCCATCTATCGTTCTTTTTCTATCTGTCTATCATCTATCTATTGTTCTGTCTCTATCCATCTATCATTCTGTCTATCTATCTTTCTGTCTGTGTATAGGGTATCTATCTATTGTTTTGTCTATCTATCTATCTATCTATCTATCTATCTATCTATCTATCTATCTATCGTTCTGTCTGTCTATCTATCTATCTAACCAGCCTAAGTTCCCTGATCTTAACTAGTTATCCCAGTCTGTGCACCAGTGCATGCATTGTTTATATGAATAAGCGAATCAATTCGTCCGATTTATTCAAAGGAACCGATTCAAAAGAACGACTCGTTCGCGAATCGGACATCACTATTGTTCGGTGAGAACGGGACAGTAAAGAGACAGACAGCACAGGAGCGCACAGCAGCAGCACTGGGCGCTTTAACCAGATATTCCTACAGCAGTATTTACTGTTTGTACTACAGTAGCTACTTGTAGGGATATTATAAGTTATGCATTATTAATAGGCTAGTGCGTAAAGACATGAGCACCAGAAACAGATCCCCACCGGACTGATCAATAACGTATCCTCTTTCAACAGGACCACCGGCTTTAAACCTGGACGTGCATTTAACAAACAAACCCTAAACAAGTGGATTTCTACTATAGTATATCCTGCTGTTGTAGGAAGAATCGGATGCTTTGATTCGCTGTGTGAAGTGTTGAGCATCAGCGTCAGTGGACTTCATCCTCTTCCTCAGTCTCTGGATCCGGACACAATGGATCTGACAGCGGTCGCGCTGCTCGTGTCGCTCGTCTCCGTGTCTCTGTCTGCGGATAACGCGGGCGGTAAAGCGCGGAGCTGCGCGGACGTGCGCAACTTCTACAGCGGCAAAGGCTTCACGTTAAACGGCGTCCCGCAGTCCGAGATATCAGGTATGAAATGATCAGTGACTGGGGTCATTGTAACAGGTACAGTAGCCTACTGTCTCATTCATATTCAACACTGACATTTCTCTGTGCGTTGACTATGTTTATGCAGACCACTCACGAGAATCTATCTATCTATCTATCTATCTATCTATCTATCTATCTATCTATCTATCTATCTATCTATCTATCTATTCATCCATCTGTCTGTCCTGTTGTCTTCTGGCTGTCTCTCCACCTGACACGCTCCTTAATGTTAGGCGAGGTGCATGTTCTTATTGTCAAGTTCACATGAACAGATGGAGGGTCCCAGACAAAAGCTCTACTCGCCCCACCGAACAGAACAATAGACGAAACTGTAACTGCTGAAACAGGGCTACACCTGGCATAATGTTGATCACGAGCGACTTCCCCATTAAAAATGACCTTTCGTTTCATTCATCAGTTTTATATAGACACCCACCTGATGTCTGGATCCCCATGTGGTTTGAAAGAGCATGTGCTGGAGCTCATCTCCAACAGTATGTGGTCCCTATAGGTCATGTTACGATGACGGTGACTACCAGATTCGTAGGTTTTCCCCAGGGTTGCAGTCTAGGAGTAAAAAAAAACCTCACTGTAATTGCAATTTGTGGTATTAATCAGTGTTGTTGGTGTTATTAGATACACACAGGGCAGTGAGGTCAGTAAATCGTGGCATTTGATGAGCGAGTCTCATGATTTTCTTTGTCATTTCCAAGTAACAGGCAGCGGCAGAAATCCATGCAGTCAGCAAGTGACTCGTAGCTGGAGCCAGGGATTTTTAATGTTCCCATTAGGGGCCAAAAAAAATGTTGGCAGGTTGTGAATCTGTCCCATGCATGCTGGGTAGTATGAAATCTGCCATCAATATTTATGACACAGCCATCTTTTTGATAACAGGTCGCACATTATAACCGGTAATATGTCACAAATCAGTTCGGGTAAACATGCAATTATATCAGTGCATGATGTGCTCCCAGTGTTTTTTTTTTTCCAGAATTCCTCTGGGATGTCTAATTGTGCTGTGTGCCCAAGAAGCTAAAGGAGATAAATGATCACACATGTGCCACACTCACACACATAAACACTTGTAAATAAAGCTCAAACCAGGAAGGAAACATTGCCAATATTCACAATGCACTTTTTCTATGAGATGATGAAAATATATCCGTACAATATATATCCTGCCTCCTCGTTGTATTCCACACACACACACACACACACACAAAACACCTACTGTACACACAAACATCAACGCAACACCGCCTCGGCAGCCGCCTTCAGTAATAAGTGTATTTGAGGCATTATACATTGGCATCCTCAGCAGATTTGAGAGGCTGGGAGAAACAAAGAGTTCCTATTGGCCGAGAGGAAATTCTCAAGGTCATCGCCTGCGGTCTCAATGACAGAAGGGGGAGACGAGGAAAATGTAGCAAGTGCCGGCCGCCCACCACCGTCTCGTTTGAGACCGTCTCGACATCTTTTATTCATTGTTCAAACCGTCGGAATAAGTTGTTCGTTTAAAAGCTTTAAAGGGGTTGACGGCCAGATTGTGTTTGTCTGCTTGAAGCGTTCATGTTTATTTAAATGAGGTGCATTATAAGTTAGAGGCTAAATATAAATGACTTAAGTTGTGTTGTTTTTAATTTAGACTTTTTCCACCACAAAAGGAGATATTTAAAGCACTGTGTTCAAGCTGCTCTTTTCCATACAATGAAAGTGAATGGAGACTACGGCTCTCAAGCAGGGTTTTCTGTGAAGAACCTCTTAAATGTCTGTCTGTTCCTCGTTATCCAGCTGCTTCCCACATATTGCACAGTTTTTAAGTCCAGTAAACCGGAAATCCAGTCCGTGAAAGTATGGTCTAGTGAAAAAACAGAGGAGCTGAAGGGGTGCTTCCTCTGCACAGACTGGAATATCTTTTTTAAGGATGCAGACATTGATAGTGCTACTGAATCAATCACCGCATACATTTCTTTCTGTATTGATTCTGTTATACCCCAGAAAACAGTTAAACGGTATCCTAATAACAAACCCTATATCACAAGGGGCATTAAAGAATGTATTAACAGGAAGAAACTAGCTTTCAGAACTGGGAATAAAGCAGAAGTCCGAGCTGCACAAAAAGACCTTAATCTACAAATGAGAGCAGCTCGGCAACGGTACAAGGAGCGGGCAGAAAAACAGCTGTCAGACTCAAACACAAAGACACTTTGGGACTCGATCAGAGCTTCAGAAGACTTGGAATAAGTCATTTGGATTACTTTTGTGATGTTTTATGATGCTTTTTGGAGCTTAACAGCCTCAGTCCCCATCCACTTTCCTTGTATAGAAGAGTGCAGCGTGAACATTTTTCAAAACATCTCCTTTTGTGTTCCACAGAAGAAAGTCATACTGGTTTTGAATGTCATTAATATGAGTAAATGATGACAGAATTTTCCTTATTTGACTGAACTCTTAGAAATATGTCACGTTACAGACTTAAAATAAGTTGCAAACAACATTTCATGTTGAGTTTTAATAGTAAGTCAAACCGATTAATCGCGAATAATCGCATCTAACATAAAAGTTTGTTTACATAATATATGTGTGTATATATTATTAATTATATATATATCGTGTGTGTGTGTGTGTGTTTGTATATATACAGGCCCGCCGACAGGGGGGGACAAACGGGTCTGTTGTCCCGGGCCCAGGGTAGGGAAGGGGGCCCAGAACTGGGCCCTCATTAAATTATGTAATAATTGTAAAAAAAAAAAGAAAAAAAAAAGGCATATTTGTTGAAAAAATATCTAATATTTGAGTTACATAAAAGCTTTTTAATCGTTTTCTTCCTAATTGTCCTTGAAATATGGTGGTCAAGAACCCCCCCACCCCCAAAACAAAAATGGTTTGGCCACTGATCGAAATATGATGTTGTCATTTGATTTGAAGTTCGTAGGCTAACGTTACGCTCAAAATGTCCGGTCAACACAAGTCCGGTGCTCAGAAAAGAAAAGAAAAGAAAAGAGAAGAAGAAAATAGAGGCCTTCGAGATGTCCTAAACAAATATTTTTAAAAAGGTGGTGACGGTGAAGCTGGAACTAACGTTAGTAAAGTCAACGTAGAGCAAGGTAAGAAACAGCGCAGCCAACGTTTATGAGTGTTGTCAAAGACCCGGCACTTCGGTACCAAGTCGGTACAAATTTCTTTTTAAACGTCACGCCACGGTACCAGGTTTTCTCAAACCCGGGATGCGCGTGCATGCCCAAAGCGCGTTTAGTTGCGTCCTCTTCATAAAAGCGCTGAGACATGGCGACCGGCGGTGCTGCTGCTGTGGTGGCTGTAAATCCACTTGTTGATAAGAAAGGAGGAAAGAGCCACATATGGAAATATTTTGGATATTAGCTCATAATAGCGACGCGGCACGCTCGTTTTTACAGGCGCGCCTAAGTTCATTGTTGCATAGCAACGACAGACGCCACGGGAGAGCAAACGCTTGTGGAAAGGAGAAAGCGGTGCGAACTGCGCTCTCCATGATGACGAGGAAGTATTAGCAAAGAATTCATTGATTTCTAGCCCTTGGATTAGCTTTACTACTATTTATGGAGATGAGAAATAAAAAGCCGGCTGAAATGCATCACTGTCATCATCGGTGAACAGATAATGGGTCAGATCCGAGTCTATTTTTGCTGCGCTGCTCATGCTTAAAAGTGAAAGCACACTTTTGATGGACAAAAAATAAATATGATTTCACACAAAAAGTGCCCAAAATGCACAGATTTTGCATGTCTAGTGTGTTTTAACAAGAACTGCAGTAGGCTATGTCAGAAAAGAAAATGAAGACATTTATAGAAAATGTACCCATTTAAACGTGTTTTTATTATTCATTTTGGGTAAAAGTATATGGTGTTTTATAAAAATAAAAAAAATCGTGGGGGGGCCCCATCTAAGATTATCTTGTCCCGGGCCCAGACAAGACTGTCAGCTGGCCTGTATATATATACACATTAAATAATATGTATACATACATATGTGAGATGCGATCAATTGCGATTAATCGATTTGACAGAACTAGTTAATTTGCATCAAATTGCATGATTCATTTTTGCAATATTTTGACAACAGACAATGATTTTCACAGAATATTATATGTAATGGGAACACAATGTTGTTTAAATGTTGAACTGACATTCTGGTTAGTTACACACTGTGTCCGAAATCGCATACTGTATAGTAGGCAGTACATTCGGTTTGAAACTTACTTCACGACCATTAAAAAACGTACATTCTATATAGTATGAATGTGTGTGGTATTAATGAAATTCAGATGCACTACATCCGCCATGTTGTCACTGCCATGTGACCTATGGCGTCAGTTGCGTCGCTTCTCCACCATTCATAAATCCTCTCCCGTGGCCTCATGGGATAGTAAAGTGTCCATCGAATGCACACTTCAGAAGCTCCTCGGAAGTAGTAGGTCATCTGGGGACTGTTATTCAAAAACTATGTATTCGCACACACTACTCTGTTGTAGTTTTTCACATAGGCTATATATAGTAGTGAAGTATCGGACGCGGCGGCAGAGTCGTCATTTCTGTAAGATGTTATTTTGATGCCTCTTTAACTGGTGTGACAGTGATACCCACACTGCGCATTCTGAGTTGGAGGGTTTGAGATTTCCGCCTCGTTTTGTTTTAGCATGTTTTAGAAAGAGCTGATCATAAAGCATCACCTAAAGGTCAGAGAGGAACCAGAGCTGAATGCCGCTGTCTAGAATTACCGACGCAACTTGTGTGTCTCCCATTTTTACAAACACAGAGGCAGCGTATTGTTCAATGGAGGGGACTACGTGACACTTTGAGCCCTGCGGTCACTCGAAACAATGACAATCTCACATTTCCCTCAAGTAGGCCGTGAAGATGGGAGTCGGGTGGGGATGTGTGCGACCTCGCGGTTATTCGTGATCGTAACTTTGTTATTTTAACAGATTTATTTTCAGGTTT